GAACCTGAATTCGGTAGATCAACCAAAAGTGATTAGTTCTCCATGGCCATTCGTACAAGCTTACAATCAAAATCGTCAATGGAAGATTGCTGCTACAGTGCCGCGGCTGCTACCCTAAGGGGAAAGAGTACAACCCGTTTTACAATCCAACTGGGTCAAACATACGACCCAGACCCAAAACTAATTGACCCGAAACTTAACTAAAACTAGTGCTGCAACTCCAACGAATTTTCTGGCCCTTCTACAGTCCTATTCTGACTTCTACTCCAACATAAGAATTGTAGCTCTTTCTCTTAGCTTTCCGTCGATTATTAGAACGCCTCAATCGGACTTATGAAACTCCAGTTATGATCGTTTCCGTGCAGACTGCTAAAGCTGAAAATTAAATACGAAAATCAAATAACAATAAAAATAAATTAAAATATAAAAACATTATAAAATACAAAAATAAGACAAGCAAACCATGGAAATGTATAAGTACAACCGTAGAGTAATGTGCATCAAAATGCACTGATCACATATAAATGTTAGTAATTAGGATTTGTATGGGAAGATAAAAATCAATCTTAGAGAACACTAATCCAAGATAAACCAAGCATGAAATACAAATACTATTCACACATGCACCCCTAAAGTTAACTCCATTTGTTGCCTAAAAATGGTCATGTTATGCATGTGAGACGTATTAACAAAACAATAAAAATATAAGATCATAGTCCCTCGATGACGCTTCAAATGTTGCCTTTCAAATGATCTTAGTCCCCCAAGAGAAATGTTAAGATATCTCACAAAATTGCTATCATGACTATACGATGACTCACGACCACCCTTTTACATCCAAAGATAAAGCTTCTTACCAATCAATGTTAATATAGAAACATCTAAAGGAGGAGGAAAAGAACAAAGACTTTTTGAGTAGGTAGAAACGTTCTTAGTTGCTTGCTCATTTTCAAAAACAAACATATTTCCAAACACACACTAAACACTTTCAAAACATGAAATATTTTTAAAAGTCCAACACTTTGTATACATTCTTATAGAGACAAGAATCATTACAAAGTTTTCCTAAACGAATGCGCTTTTCAAAAATACTTTCAAAAACCACCACAAAGCACACTTGCAAACAAAGTAAGTAATCTAGCAAGCAACTAAGAGCCCATAAATAACTATGGATGAAAAAGGTACTAACATCTTCCCTTTTCATAATCTACCCACCGAACTCAAGAAAATAATCTCAAAGGTCTTTTATATTCTTTTCACCCTTTCCTTTATTTGGATAAAAGAAAAGTCGGTGGCGACTCTTGCTATCCGCAATAGTTGTGATCAAACGTAAAACATCCCAAGTCAGTTCTCTCACCGTGTTACAACATGCAACTCTCTCGCACACCTGTCGTGTTGCCAAAAGACATAAAAGATCAAATTCTCAAATGTAAATTTTACAAACTTTAAGGAAAAATCAAAATGTTAATGAAATAATCCCCGACAACAACGCTAAACAATTGATGACTAATTTTTTACGTGCAAGTATACACGATCAAACTATTAACAAGTCATAATAAAGAGTATCAATCCCATAGGGATTGTATGAAGCATAATGATTTTCATACAAGAAATTGTAAAGTAAACATAAGCAAAGATAATAAAATAATTTTATGTGTCACATGGTTAAGAAAGTGGAAAATAGAGAATATGATTAAGGGTTAACACAAAGAGAAAGAATATGTTGGACAATGTTCCATTTAATGAATTCGTCTAATGTATGAGTCTGATATGTTCTGTCATGACAGATGAGGTCAAAACATGATCTTATAGTGTATCCCTACAATATCAACACATATACAAGAAAACAAGGAGATACATTCCTAAGCCTCACATTTAACTTTAATGCATTTCTGGTTTCATTCCAAATTTCCCCCATGATTCTAGCTCCATATGCCTAAAGTAGCTATTCTAGTGAATATGCATGTCCTTCTATTTTTAATCATGTTTATCATTAGTTCCACTTGTTGATGGATTTCTTACGTCAACAAGCTTTCATCTACTCCTAAGGTGGCCAGACTAAGGAGTAAACATATGGCATAAATTTACATGAATAAAATATATCAAGACAACTCACTTATAATATTCAAAAGATTACTCATTCATTAAACTTCACATTAAGCACGTTTAGATCATAATGGGTAAAATAAGCACAACATCGAAAGATCTTAATGTACACATTCTTAAGAAAGAAGATAGAAATGATAAACCTAAGGATGACATTTCAATCACTTGTAATTTGTTAATCAATAAGTGGTGTCTTCTGTCACGCCTCCCAATGTTGTTTCCTTTGGTCATACGAGACTAGAGTCGCGTCAGAACTCTTCGTATTCCAAAATTTATCTTATGCAAAATTCTCTCCAAGATTAAGAACATCTTTCTTCATTGCATTGTAGCTTTATTTATAGAGTTTTTCCAATTTCATAATGAGCCCGTTTGGCTTTAAAAAAAAAGGTTTTTTCTTTATATTTTTAAAAATAGATTTTATAAAATCATTTTTTTAAATATTAAAAAAAAAAATTTATGTTTGTTTTTTATAAGTTGAAATACTAATTTTGAAATCCTATAACATAAACATATATGATTGAAAATCGAAATATTTTTGAAATCACTTTTTTTTTTATTTAAAAAAGTTGTATTTCAAAAATATTTTTTATGAAAATCTATTTGAAATAGCTTCAAAATTAAGTGATTTTTTGAGTTTTTGACATCAAAAAAAGGTTTTAATAAAATAATGAAATATCTAAAATAACATTTTAAGAATAACTACTCAAACTAAATTTTCATTTGAAGCTTTTATGAAAAAATTATTTGTTAATTTTTTTTACACAAAATTATGTTACATTATAAAAATTATTTTTGAAAAAGGTCAAAACAAACAGGTCTAATGTGTCTCTATTTAGTTCTTAGGTATTTACAATGATCTATTAACTTAAGCCCAAAGAATAAAACTTATTTTTTATGTTGTACTATGATAATACATTGCACATGAGAGACAATAAGACATTATGGTAGGGCTGCAGTAGTAGCAGTGCAGGTGCAACAATAACATGCCTTAACAACTTTATAGAGTTTTGTCCTCTAGTTTTCATCCTTATCTCTTTAACTTTACAACTCAACACTAATTCGTTTCCTTACAACTCTAGAACGTCAACCCTAATGTTATGATTCAAAACTTATACTAGTATCTTCTTCCTCAAGGCCTACTAAGTATAGCTCATAGATTCCTAGCGTGACAGAACTCATCACAAAAGCTAATTTTGCACAAGTGCAAAACTAATAAAATTGACAAAAGAGAGAACATAGTATGCTAAATCTTAAATTAACTAAAGTAAGATAAAGCCTAAATAAATGACATTACTCAAGCTCTAAAATACCATAAATTTCAAGTAGAAAAGGCTTAAATATCTAACACAAAATAAGTTATTAGTCTTCTTAGAACTTTGTTCAAACATCCTTGTGAGAAGATGGTGAAAACAATTATGAGTAAATGATATGTGTGGCCCAAGTTATTTTTTACTGAGGATCCACAATATGAGTCAATTATACTCGCTAAAAATACAAATGCATGACAACCCCTGATGATTAAGGGTTGATAGAGTCTTTTGGGTTGTTATGGTATTGGGAGTTAGCTAACGTGATGTGAGAAACTACTGTATATGTGTATTTTCTCTGTGTTGTAGTTAGTCCTTATGTATCATGATATTGATGTATTTATAGCTTCGAGGGTCTGAAACCAAGTCTTGATAAAATGTACCAACCATTCCAAGAATGAGTGGCTGGTTGTTAAAATCTAAGAAGCATTGTTAAATACCACGACTTTCCATGTAACGTTTATTGATCCAATACACGCTTTACGCACTATTGCATATTATAGACGAAGATATTAGAGGCCTCAGTGACATATTTGAAAAAGGGGCGATGTATTCAAAAGGAAGACGCTCAAACTTGTAAAAAGGGCGACTTGATGAAGACGATGGATTAAGCGTGCACGTTTCGCCCCGCACCAAGGTCCATTCCAATTATACCACTATAGTTGGAATTTTAGTTTTTGTTAAATTTATTTATCTTATGGTTCATTTAATTTGAGCAATTGAGTCAGATCGTGTTCAAATTATCAATCTGAATCAAATCATTTGTAAATTTTAACCAAACTAAATTTAAATTAGAAAAAAAATACAAAAGTTTTGAATTGAAGTAATTCTTATTGAGTCGTACAGACAAGTTTCACTCATTTACCATCCTTCTTTAAATTAACCAATTTTAAAAAAGTTACAAAAATTAAGAGATAATTATAAAGGATTAATAGTTGTAATTATGTTTTAAAAAATGGTATGCGATCGCGAAAAAAACCGCGACAAAATAGTTTTGACATATGTCAATACCATTACCGTTATAAAAAAATAGTTTAATTTAGAATGTAATACTATTCCTACACCAAAATGCTACACCAATATTTACACTCAACATTGTTCATCGTATTTATACGGTAAACAATATTTTTTTAAATAAAAAAAATATATTTATGGACAATAAAATATTATTATAATATACATATTTTTTATTTTTTAATAGTATAACAAAGTTGATTAATGAAATATTAAAAATTAATTAATTATTTTTTTTAATATTTAAATATTTATCAATCAATTTTATGACTTTATTTCATTCTTCATAAATATATATATTTTTATTTTAAAAAATACTATTCACCATATTTACGGTAAATAGTATTAGATTTAAATGTATTGGTTTAGAATCTTGGTATTGGAATAACATTACTCTTTGATTTATATAAAACGTGAAAAATAGATATTTCCGTTTTAGTTTACACCATCAAACTATACTCTTTGTTAATCAAACCAAATATAACTGTCAAAACCATTTATTATGAAGTAATGAAACACTAATTATTCAAACTTTCAAAGCAAGTATAAAAATTTATAGTTGGCAAAAGGATTCTAGACCGTGGAGGTGAAGTTGAATCTAAAACAATCAGTTTTTCGTGCAAAGAGCGAGTTGCTAAAACCCAATCTATTCTCAGCCAAATCAAACTGCAAAAGATTATCCTCTAACTGATTCCCACCAATCACAATCGAAGTCCTCGGATTCTCACCACCGTTCACAAATCCAAGACACAAAACCTCATCATTGATAAACACCATCGAATTCGCATCAAGCATCTTCCAAACCACATTTTCATTCTGCAAAACAAGCTCAATAGTAGGCACCGCCGCATCCAATGGCGTCGCAGGCAAGTTGTCAGAACTATAACAAAATTCAAAAGGCGCAAACGAAGCCACTCTCGTTATGTTTCTTGCAATAGAAGCTTTCGCAAAAGCATCTGTAACTGCTTTATAAATAGAAGCTTCTAGAACCGTGTAAGGATCCACCGTACTTATCTTCGTTCCACCAACACCGTTACTGTCTATAGATAACAAACTCGTGTTAACTGAAACCACTTTTGAATCTATTTTTATTGTTTTTACTCCGATGAAATATTCGGATGAAGACTCTCCTTGTGAGAAAGCAGAAGCTGTGCTAACGGGGTTGATTAATAACGGCGTGTAGGTGAGAGATTTTGAATCATATACAACATTGGGGGCTGAGCGAACATCGGCGGCGAAACCGTAAGGACCATCACCAAAGATAACGACGCCGTCTGAAGAGGAAAAACAAAAAGCGAATTTTCTATCGAAGCTAAAAGCAGAAGCTAGTTGAGATGGTAAAGCGATTTTGGTTCTTCCGAGACCAGCCATGCCAGAAGCACCACTTGCGAGTCCTTTAAGTAAGGAAGTTGGCGCGCAGGAGAAGGAGAAGCGTGAAATGGCGACGGTTTGTCCAGGGTTGAAGCCGTTGGTGGATTGGATTGATAAAACGTCTTCAGCGAGTTCGCCGCTGGTGGCGGTGTGGGTGACTGTGTTGTCGGGGAGTAGACCACATGTGTTGTTGTTGCAGCCGGGTTTTGGCGATGAGAAACAATCGCCGCAACTGTTTGATTTAGCGAGGGAGCATTGGGCGGAGCGGCACCTTGCAGGGCGGTATGTGGAGGAGGTGTATTGGTTTTCACAGTCGGCCCAGAGGAACTGGCCGCCGAGATCAACAACGAGGTTTATTGGGACTAGTGGGGTTCTTTGGTTAATTTGAGCTGTGTATTGGAGGGTTGTTTCGCCATCTTTTGTGACATGGAGAACAAGGGCTTTTGGTCTGAAAGATTGTTGAGAGAAAGTGGGTGAAATAAAGAAAAGTATAAGGAGAATGGAGGTGAAGTGTTGGAAGTTAGAATTAGCCATGGCCAGAGATACTAGATATTGAGTTGGAAGATGGTGTAGAGGCAGTTCTATTTATGCCTAAAAATGGAATTGGATGGGTGGATAGAGTTGCCACTTTTGATTTGATTCAATAATTAGTCAAGTAAAAGACAATTAGAGATGTTAATAAGTCGAATATGATTACTACTAGAAGCTGTCTAACATTATATGGATGGGTGGATAGAGTTGCCACTTCTGGATATTATTAGTATTTTTGTCAAACTTGAGACATTTTTTGTTTTATATGTTCTTCATCTTTATTAGTATGCTTTGCTAATTTCTTTCCTCTCTCTTTAGAGAGAATGATGAAAGGGCAGTACTTATTTGTTGCTATGCAATCAAGGGTAAAATATACACCTGGGACAAAATCAAATTGAAAATTGTAGTTTCAAATTTGTACAATAGCTGATTAAGAGGATTTATATTGAAAATTCATTTACTCTCTTACCACTTTATCTCCAATAAAACTTGAGAAAACTAATTACCAATAATTATTTATTTAACCTTTTTTTAATTGCTCTAATTTTTTGAAGGGTTTTATGGAAATTTTATTACACTTATTAAATAAATTATTTTTAATTTGTATGCAAAAAAAATAATATTTTTTCCATTCTTTTTATGGTAAGCCTTTTATTATATATATATATATATATATATATATATATATATATATATATATATATATATATATATATATATATATATATACATATATATATATATATATATATATATATATATATATATATATATATATATATATATATATTAATTCTAATCAGATCATAAAGTCGTGTGAAAAGAGAATAAGACGGACATATAGCCTACATAGACAAAGGATAACAGGACCGAGTACTAATTCGTTTGAGGTTAGAGGCCGATAGATATTACACCCAAGCAATAGTCAATCTAAGATATCAGTCTGGAGATTGTCCGTAATCAGGCACATCTACCTTTAGCCGGCTAATAACACGGTCCATACATGATTATAACGATTGTCAGCTCATTAATATGGGCGTTATGTCATCTTAAATGCACTCATTCATGGCCGACAACAGTCGTTATACGGTTCAAAAGCCAAGAGTCATATCTTAAATGAATCTCTTAAATGAGCAGCAAAGGACTATATAAAGGGGCTCCCGCCAGTGGGATAAGCAAGACATTCATCTTGGATCAATACGCATCATTGTCTTTGCACCCAAATCCCCCAAAATCATACATAAATCGTTATATGAAGTCACTCATTTAGTGTTTTTACGCAAGAACATTTGGCGGCCATCGTGGAGCCTCGATAAAACTTTCCTAGGCCACACATCCCATTCAGAAGAATATCCTATGAAGGGGATCCTTCATATATGACGCAACTACTAGCCATGGTGGATGCTCTACGATAAAAGAATGAAACGCTGCAGAATAACGTACAAATCTTACAACTACAAAGCCAACCGGATGGGGAGCAGGAAGAGGATATTCTTGATCCCCAGCTGCTATCGCAAGTGATATGGGACGACCAAGTCCCCGAAAATTTCAAGTCACAATCGCTCACATCTTTTGATGGTAAAACCGACCCCCAAGAGCTTATTATCATCATCAACAATCAAATGGAGATAGTAGGGCCCTCTGACTCGTTAAAGTGTAAACTCATGGAAGGTACTTTCAAAGATGTGGCTCTGATGTGATACATGAGCCTTCCTCGGCTATTTATGATGAGCTATTAAGACTGACCAAGAAATTGGTACAACACTTCTCAATAAATAGACACCAGAAGGTTTCGACAACTACCATATTCTATGTTTTACAGGGACATGGGGAATCCCTACGGAAGTACCTTGCTAGATTTAATGAAGAAACCATCAAGGTTTCTCACCCCGACCAAGAGTTTGTCATTGGAGCATTCCAACACGGTCTCTGAGCCGAACAATTAAATGAATCTCTAGCACATATTCCAACATCCAGCATGGACAAAATCATCACCGGGGTCGAGTGCTACATCAAAGGTGAAGAAAGTAACTGGGAAAAGCGATCTAGAGATACCACTGAGAAGATAAAAAGTAAAAAGGAGGGGTTGAGATGGAGAAAAGAACAACCTCAGACCATTCCATATGACCGACCCGCACTGAGGTCATCATACTGACGACCCTTTGATTCAGAGGAAGACCTAATACCATTAAATACCATAAGAGGAGATATCTTGAAGGAGGTAGGCCATCTGAATCTGATACCCGAATTGAGACGCCCTAGAAAAGTGGATGCCATACTGAGGAAAGACACTGGGGCTTGGTGCATCTATCACCGGCTCCGAGGTTATCATATTGATGACCGACTACCATCAACTAAAAAAAGAGATCGAAGAACTGATATAGAGAGGACGTCTCTTAGCATATGTGAAGGACTCCAGGTCACAATCGGAGAAAAGAAGTCCCCAGAGAGACGACCCAAACTCGAAAAATCCTTCGTATAAAAAAGGAAGAGATACTAACGAGGAGCATGAAACGAAGACAACTTGACATACACTTAACATAATTACCGGTGGATTCGCTAGAAGACTTCGGGACAATTTTAGTGAGGCGCTTTGTTGGTTTAACTACTGGTCGCTGAAATAGTAAAGGCGAATGAGAGAAAAGTTATAAAAAGGATGAAGTTCCTAAGATAGAATTCTTTGGGAAAAGAAAGTACCTGATGGTCTCCCACAGGACTAAAGTTAGTACTCTCTGGAAGATTTGGTGCAGGCTGCAAGACGTTTTCTCTTGCCACCAATGTAGGAGGCACAACAACATAAGTGGTCTTCTTTGAGGCAGCCTCAGAACGAGTCAACCTAGAATTTTTTTATTTTTTAGGAACAACAGGCGAAGACGCTTCGACAGCTCATTTCTCTTGGCCAGTAGAGCATTTTCGTTTTTTTGGAGACGACTCAAGAGGGATGATAGCATTGGCTTCAGGGGCCTACGAGTAAGTTAACATAATCATTGCGTTAGAGGAGGAATGAGATTAGTAGATAAGCCATAAGATCAGGAAAATACCTGAGAATAAGTTTCAAGAACTTCATTAGTGGAGGGTGAGACGGTCGCACCACTGACAGCTTCCCTGGCGCGTTTCTTATGCTCGACCGCTAAATGTGGCAATAACATAAGACAAAGCGTTAGAAGTCAAAACATAAAGAAGCAAGGAGGCGAACAAGAAGGCGACTGACAGTCAAAATAGTAAGCCATACATTTCCTAAACTTTTGTTGCATTGCTTCGAAAGCATGGTTCAGTCGAGCCTTGAAAGACTTAAGAGTACCATTACTTTGCACAAATTATATAGTCCACCAATCATAGAACTCCTTAGTGGTATAGAAGAGGGTTTAGAAGGAGACAAGAGTCATAGTGGGGATATCAACAGCAAAACGTTGGAGATGTTGAGCACATTCGTCCTTACTATAGCTAGTGGACCAGGGACACAACTCATCGAAGGGTTTATAAAAACTACGGGGCAGAGGTTGGCACAAACCAAATTGTCTAGCCACCAAATTAGGCTGATAACACAGAAGTGTTACGCCATCATTAGCTCCCACCCTGGATGTAATAAGCTTAGGGGTTAAGAAAGCTTGCCATATGGCTTTAGATTCATGGAGTTACGTAGGATCGGCAGGAGGAAATGGTTGAGTAAACCACTCAGGACCATGTTTTCTGGAAGCAAAGGGGACCATGCTTGGATGAAAAGAAGTGCACCTAAAAAAATTTCAAGTATTTTTTAAGAGAATCCTCTCGAGTCATGTCATTGTTGGAAGGTCTCATTGCAGCAAGACAAAGGCTTTCGTTGGCACGCTGAGTGAATGCCGTTTATTGTGCTTTAGAAAGTCGCAGTTTGAGCTGGCTCGTAAAGGTGGCGTTTAACCATAATTGAAGCATCCAAAAAGGGCCAACAAGAAAATAGCTGGTAGTAAGAGAGAGTGAAGTCATATAGTTGACCCTCACGCTGAGTGATTCATAGAGCGACCCCAAAATGAGTTTGCTCAGGCATATGTCTCAACCCATATGAAGGTGGTGAGCTAATGTAATAAATCATTTATCTACCTTCAAAGATCGACTGCAAAAGACATACTTGGAAAGCCACAAAGCCAAGAAAGTAATGTGCTCTTCGTCAGAAACAATGTCGACATCTTTAGGGTGAAAGCGCTCCATGTATTTGGTGAAGCCAGAAATGTCCTTTTCAAAAGGAATGACATTTTTGTCGGCTTCAGTAGGAAGAAAAACATCACATGTGGGACGAAGGCCAGTAATGGACGCAATATCGAATAAGGTAGGGGTAAGCATTACCAATCGCAAAATAGAAAGTGTTTGTGGAGCCTTCTGTTGGCTGAAGATTTTGATATTGTGATTCGAAATGAAATGATTGGGCTTTGTTTGAATAAAGCAAGTTTTTTGGTTTGGAATAGAAGAGACTATTTTTTCGAATGGAAATAATAAAGTTCAAGGTTTAGAATGATAGTTGTGGAGTGTAAGTCTAAAGAATGTTCTAAATAATGATGAGATTATGTTTGTGAAGGTTGTTTCGAGATTAACCTTTGAAACGAATTCGAAACGAAGGTTCCGAGGCGTTTGAAATTCAAACGTGAGCGGGATGTTTGAAATTCAAATACATAAGCGCTGGAGCGTTCGAGGACGCGTGGAGGCTAGAGGGAAGTAATGCTCTGCATGCTTCAAACATGGCAGATTCTGATAGCAAGACCGTTATGGTCGAAATAGTATAAATAGAGGTCTTAGTGTTAGGATTTCGGTGTGTCATATCTGTTGTACAAATTCAGTAAACATTCAAAATACCGCATGGATAGGGAAACGAATGCTCGAAAGATGTACGTATGATAACACCAACATTTACAATTCAATGAAAACTCTTTATATTTTCCATTTTTGTCTTTCATTTCCATTTCATTTGTGCTTCAAACATTTTTACGTTCATGCCTTTACATTAGAGTTTCTACATTCAGAGTCATTTATTT